CCCCCCACTGAAAATAGTCTCAGCTGTGATATTTACATATGAACAAGCTGCGACTCATTCTCCCCCCAAAACATTGAGTGTTGGGGTTTCGATGGAAGAAACGGTGACAACCCTGGGTAGGAAAGGAAATGACGGCAGGGCCCGGGGACCCGACTGGTGGTCAGCCTCATAGCAAGGCTCCAAACTGTCACCTGACTGTCTCTAAACATCGTTCAGACCGGAGATACAATGTAACATTATTACTTCTGTATTCATCTTCAGATCAAAGAGATGAACTTCTGTATGTGATCTATATGTGATATGTATGTGACGATCTGTATGTGATATGTATGTGATCTGTATGTGATATGTATGTGACCTGTATGTGATATGTATGTGACGATCTGTATGTGATATGTATGTGATCTGTATGTGATATGTATGTGACCTGTATGTGATATGTATGTGACGATCTGTATGTGATATGTATGTGATCTGTATGTGATATGTATGTGACCTGTATGTGATATGTATGTGACGATCTGTATGTGATATGTATGTGATCTGTATGTGACCTGTATGTTATCTGTATGTGATATGTATATGACAATCTGTATGTGACAATCTGTATGTGACCTGTATATGATCTGTATGTGATCTGTATGTGCCCTGTATGTGATCTGTATGTGACCTGTATGTGATCTGTATGTGACGATCTGTATGTGATATGTATGTGATCTGTATGTGATATGTATGTGACCTGTATGTGACGATCTGTATGTGATATGTATGTGATCTGTATGTGATCTGTATGTGACCTGTATGTTATCTGTATGTGATAATCTGTATGTGACCTGTATATGATCTGTATGTGATCTGTATGTGCCCTGTATGTGATCTGTATGTGACCTGTATGTGATCTGTATGTGACCTGTATGTGACAATCTGTATGTAATATGTATGTGATCTGTATGTGCCCTGTATGTGACAATATGTATGTGTTTTGTATGTGATCTGTATGTGACGATCTGTATGTGACCTGTATGTGCCCTGTATGTGATCTGTATGTGACCTGTATGTGATCTGTATGTGCCCTGTATGTGATCTGTATGTGACAATCTGTATGTGATATGTATGTGCCCTGTATGTGACAATCTGTATGTGATATGTATGTGCCCTGTATGTGATCTGTATGTGCCCTGTATGTGACAATCTGTATGTGATATGTATGTGCCCTGTATGTGATATGTATGTGCCCTGTATGTGATATGTATGTGATATGTATGTGATATGTATGTGCCCTGTATGTGATCTGTATGTGATCTGTATGTGACAATCTGTATGTGATTTGTATGTGATCTGTATGTGAGTTGTTGACGATCTGTATGTGATCTGTATGTGATATGTATGTGACCTGTATGTGATATGTATGTGACGATCTGTATGTGATATGTATGTGATCTGTATGTGACCTGTATGTTATCTGTATGTGATATGTATATGACAATCTGTATGTGACAATCTGTATGTGACCTGTATATGATCTGTATGTGATCTGTATGTGCCCTGTATGTGATCTGTATGTGACCTGTATGTGATCTGTATGTGACGATCTGTATGTGATATGTATGTGATCTGTATGTGATATGTATGTGACCTGTATGTGACGATCTGTATGTGATATGTATGTGATCTGTATGTGATCTGTATGTGACCTGTATGTTATCTGTATGTGATAATCTGTATGTGACCTGTATGTGACCTGTATGTGATCTGTATGTGACCTGTATGTGATCTGTATGTGACCTGTATGTGACAATCTGTATGTAATATGTATGTGATCTGTATGTGCCCTGTATGTGACAATATGTATGTGATTTGTATGTGATCTGTATGTGACGATCTGTATGTGACCTGTATGTGCCCTGTATGTGATCTGTATGTGACCTGTATGTGATCTGTATGTGCCCTGTATGTGATCTGTATGTGACAATCTGTATGTGATATGTATGTGCCCTGTATGTGACAATCTGTATGTGATATGTATGTGCCCTGTATGTGATCTGTATGTGCCCTGTATGTGACAATCTGTATGTGATATGTATGTGCCCTGTATGTGATATGTATGTGCCCTGTATGTGATATGTATGTGATATGTATGTGATATGTATGTGCCCTGTATGTGATCTGTATGTGATCTGTATGTGACAATCTGTATGTGATTTGTATGTGATCTGTATGTGACCTGTATGTTCCCCCCTCCTCCCCCTCCTCTCTGAGCTGCTGATTTTTCGACGTTTCTCTTCATATTTCATCTTTTCTTTGTTTTCTTTGTTATTTTTTTTTGTGACGGATTCAAGAAAAGAAAAGTGTAAACTAGAAGAGGTAAATAAAAGTCTTTGTGTGATTTGTGGAGAACGCGGCCGCACTTTGTATCACAGTCGGCGTGGGTTTGTCGTTGGGGGCGGTGTCACGGCGATGAGAGTGAAATGTCTTTTATGTTGTCAGGTTTCTGTCTCTGGATTGTATACAAAATAAAATCATATTTGTAAGAAAATATCTCCAGAAAACACTTTGTTCCCCTCTCTGAGTATATATATATACTGCGCGACATTGATACATTGTTACACCGGCCAAGAGCAGAATGGACCTTTTCTCCTTCTCCCGTCTCCCCTTAGCTATTGTTTTCCTGCCAAAATGTTTTCAATTGCTCTGTTTCT